GACTTTTAAATTTCTTTGTAGAGATGAGTCTTGCTTTGTTGCTCAGGCTGGTCTTGAACTCCTGGCCGAAAGTGATCCTCCTGCCTCAGCCTCCCAAAGTACTGGAATTAAAGGTGTGAGCCCACACCCAGCCTCAAAGCCCCTTTTTGGAAATAAATTTACCTGGGCCCAGCCACGCTCATTCGCCCAGGTACGGTCTGTGGCTGCTTCTGCTCTACAGGGCAGAGTTCAGTGGCTGCAGCAGACACTGTACAGACCACAAAGCCTGAAGAACTTTCTCTCCAGCCCTTTACAGAGGAAGGCTGCCAAACTCTGATCTCAGTAACAGGGAAATCAATGGCAGCCACTCAGTGGCAGAGATTGGGTGTCTAAGAGGATGCTCAGAATAAACAGGAGAGAAAGATGAAAAGCAGAACGAAGATTCCAAACGAGAGCTTCACCTAATCCATTACTTTTCAAATGACCGGGCCTATCTCTGTAGCTGAAAATCACCTGATGTAGCATTTCTGATGTACAACCTCAAAGCTCAGCTAAGAAACTTACAAAGTCTCTCTGCTTTAACTTCATCCAGCCTCTTTCTCTCCAGCTTCTCCTCTGTGCTCATTGGTTATAAACATATTTATTGATACTTACTAATGTAAGCCAAAGAAATATGAAAAAAGTAATCCTTCCCCCAAAAGAGTTCATAGTCTAATGTTATGGCAAGTTACGTAAGCAAACAATTTTAAAAACCAGTGGCCGGGCGCGGTGGCTCACGCCTTTAATCCCAGCACTTTGGGAGGCCGAGGCAGGTGCATCACAAGGTCAAGAGATTGAGACCATCCCGGTCAACATGGTGAAACCCTGTCTCTACTAAAAACACAGAAATTAGCTGGGCATGGTGGCACGCACCTGTAGTCCCAGCTACTCGGGAGGCTGAGGCAGGAGAATCGCTTGAACCCAGGAGGCAGAGGTTGCAGTGAGCTGAGATCCCGCCATTGCACTCCAGCCTGGGTAACGAGTGAAACTCCGTCTCAAAAATCAAATCAAATATGCCAGGCATGGTGGTGCATGCCTGTAGTCCCAGCTATTCAGGAGGCTGAGGTGGGAGGATCGCCTGTGCTCAGAGGTTCAAGGCTGCAGTGAGCTCCGAACACAGCACAGTGCTCCAGCCTGGGCAACAAAGCAAGAACCCATCTCTAAAAATAACATTTAAAGAAACAGTTGTGATCTTTGCTTTAATATTCCTGGAGTGTGACGTGTGAGACAAGTCGGGGAGCAGGGTGAGTGCCGAAGATGAGGCGGACCGTGAGCCATCAGCATGTCAATCACAGGGGGATCCACGGGCATTTCATGCAGCTCCAAGGACCCTATATGAGCTCATCGGGCTCCCATTATTCCAAGTACGTTTCTTACCAGTGGTAGTTAGGATTTCCGTAGGTACACTGGATGTCCTCCCAGGACACCTGGAAGCCGGAAACAAACGGGGTTAAGCAGCCATCAGCTGACACTGTGAGCACCCACAGAGGACAGGGGGCTAGAATGTGCCCCTCATCCTCCAGACAAGCCCACCCCTAGCAACTCCGCAGAGCCTGGAGTATCAGTGGCAAGATGTCATGTGCAATAAAGTCTTTCTAGGGCCTTTGTCCCTGTGTTTAAACCCGGTCATGCTTATCCCAGATCCTAACTTACACATTTCTAACTCTGCTTGCTCTCTAGACATTTCCCACAAAGCATGAAGCTGCAGGACACGAGCCTAGAGCACCAAAACCTTAGAAGTGGAGGGAAGTGAACAGAGGTGCAAACCACATGGGGACTCCAGGCCGAAAAAGTCTTGAACCCTCATAAAAGGCCCCACACCCAGACAGCGGGTCCACAATGTGTTGATCTCAGAGATCCATGCAGCCCAGGGCCAAGCATTTGTTAGAGGTGGCCCATCCTGGGCAGGAGGCGATTGTGGATGACGTTTCTCACCGAGCAAATATTGGAGTCATTGAAGCAGAACCATTTTCCGTCCACAGCATTCCGGATGTAGGCACAGTAATGACCGGAGTCCGCCATTCCCACGTGTGCAACCACAGCGAAGAGCTCATACTGCCCTCCAGGCTGGAAAGAGACGGGCACGAGACATTTCACCCACCACACAAACACGACGGCACCACACCTTCATACCTGCCCACCCTAGGGCCGTCTACGGGACTTCAGAATACTAGACAACAGTCCCACCCCATGGCCGGCGGGCACCTTCCAGGAGGGGCTTTCCTGAGTGCGGATCCTGAACTGCAAAGGCTCAGCAGCTTGGCAGAGCAGAGCACACGGGAGACGGAAGGCGGGAGGTCATGAGACAGCCCCCAAAGCCAGGCAAGATTAGAACCACCCCCGGGGAGGGGTGGGGGTCATCAGAACACAGTTCTGTTTCTCCACAAGCCCGGGAGTGTCCATAACCTGAGCCACCATACACAGCCAAAAAAGTCTTTGTAGGGGGAGGGGAGACAGAGGGCAAGGGCGTCACACGCAAAGCTGAGTCACCCACAGTGCAGGCTCCAGTTATCCCGTTTCCATGTGCGGACCTTGTGCGGGACTTTGTAAAATGCAATATCTGTACCTGATATTAGTTTACAAGAAATAAAAGGGTTAGAGGAACACAGTGAATGACACCAGCCGGGCAGTTCTAGCATATTTAAAAAGTCTTCAACCAAATCAACAGCAAGGAAAAGAAAAGCAACAGAAATCTAAAGGAAACTTAATCAAGAAAGGAAAGAAACTTAACCAAATGCAAGGGTAGGCATTGTTTGGATCTAGATTCAAACAAACCACATGGATTGTAGAATAGTCAGGATGTCTACACGTTGACCAGATATTTGATGCTATCAGGGATTGCCAGATGGACTTGATCATGTTTTGAGTGTTTATTTTTAAGGGACGCATAATGAAGTGTTTCCAGTACAGGGTTGGATGAAGAAAGAGTGTCGTTTATAGGAAGAGCAAGACCTGCCATGAGTTTTGTCATGGTCACAGCTGGGATGCACTGTCTAATTCTTCTCTAGACACTCTGGTATATATTTGCAATGTTCCGTAACAAAGCCTTTGTTGTTGCAAAGACAGAGTCTTGCTCTGTTGTCCAGCTGGGCTCAAACTGCTGGACTCAAGCAAGCCTCGTGGCCTCCCAAAGAGCTGGGATTACAGGCGTGACCCACCGCACCCAGCCAATAAAGTCTTCTTAAAGAGAAAAACAATTTTAAATATACTTCATCAGGCAGAATGTGCAGGTAGAAATATAAAGAACTAGAATGAAAGAAAAAGAGAATCCCGTGAAATGTGTATGGCCTAAGTACATAAAGACACCATGTTATAAGAGGAGCATTTTCTAAATGCCATGGTTCTAGAGCATAAAGAGCCAAACACACCAAAAAACAGAGGAGACCCTCCTAAAATAGACCCGCACGTATGGGGATACAAAATCTGCTGTGCAGCACTTCAAATCTATGGAGAAAAGATATTTGTATTTTTTCTTGTTTTGTTTGTAGAGACAGGATTTTGTGCTGTCGCCCAGGCTGGAGTACAGTGATAGGTCGCCGCCCACTGCAGCCTCAAACTCCTGGGCTCAATGATTCTCCCACCTTGGCCTCCTAAGTTGCTGGGACTACAGGTGTGTGCTACCATACCCAGCTCGTTTTTTTTTTTTTTTTTTTGAGATGGAGTCTTGTTCTGTAGCCCAGGCTGGAGTGCAGTGGTGCAATCTCGGCTCACTGCAACCTCTGCCTCCCAGGTCCCAGTTCAAGCAATTCTCTTACTTCAGCCTCCCAAGTAGCTGGGATTACAGGCATGAGCCATGATGCCCAGCTAATTTTTGTATTTTTTGGTAGAGATGGAGTTTCACCATGTTGACCAGTCTGGTCCTGAACTCCTGATCTTGTGATCTATCTGCCTCAGTCTCCCAAAGTGCTAGGATTACCAGCCAGTTAATTTTTTTTTTTTTTTTAGAGATGGGGTCTCACTATGTTGCCCAGGCAGGTCTCGAACTCCTGGGCTCAAGTGATCCTCCTGCCTCAGCCTTTCCAGGTGCCACATCGCCTGGCCTGGTGTCACTTTTTTTTTTTTTCTCTGAATCTCTCAATAAGTTATTGACTCAGGACAAGTGAATTAAACTTTACTCTGATTAAGTGTGGTCCAGTCACCTGGCCACTTTGTGATTATCCTCAAAGTGGGCACAAGCCATTTGAGTAAGAAAGTTTGGTTGGTACTAAGAACACAGAGTGACATGTTTGCCTATGCATTTCTATGTATTCCGTGTTATTTCCAAAGAAGCCTACTGAATTCGGGATTCCGTCCCTCAGTGCTGTGAGGCATATGAACACAAATCCAGTATTTAGAAAGAAGAAAGTCTTTCAGGCTGGGCAGTCACTGAGGAATGGGTGGCTTCTAGCAGACTGGGGATGAGGGAAGGGAAAACAGGAAAAACGTAGCATCTGGGGAGAGGCAGGATGGCGGAGTCAGAACATCCCACCTGCTCCTCAGCGTCACGGATCTCTCCCTGCATTGGAAGCACGTGGCTGAAATCCAGGCTCTGGGGGAAGTACAGGGAGTGGCAGACCTTTCTCGTCTGTGAATTCCTGATGGAGAATCGCATGAGGTGGATGGTCAGGGTCTGGGGCAAATGGGTCAGCTTCAAGACCTGAAAAAGCAAAATCACTCTGGAGATAAAGTCCACTTGGAAAATGGTCATGAAAGAAATATCAGGACCAGTGGCACGTTCATCCCAGAAAAGAGGACGCAGGGTGACATCGCGGAGTTCAAGGCTCCCATTCGCTGAATCTGCTGAGCTCCTCTGAGAATAATGCAAAATGTGGCTATTCTACATCACGGGGTCCCCACAAGAGGCACAAGGGCACAGGGCTCTGTACAGGTGCCAGGACCCAGGGAGCCACGGCGTCTGCTCCAGGGAGCTTGTCTCACCCATAGGGAAATGCCCTGCCGGCTGCTCTCAGGCCTTCTCCTCTGGTCCCTCTCAGTGATGTGACCTGAGAAGCCACATCCATGGCTCTAGAGATCAGAACCACGGGATCCCAGATACTAGCCAGACCCAGATTCCCTTTCTCACCCACCACGAGGTCCCCTCAGGGCCTCTGACAATTCTATCAGGAAATCCAGAGGGGGCAACCCCAGACTAGTGAAGGGCAGTTGACCCCTGGAGATCATGGGGTTGGACTGTGTGGGTCCAGTGAATACACAAATAGTTTTAAATAAATACAGTCTGCCCTCCCCCATAAGCACGAGTTCCACATCTGCAACCAAACGCTCATCAAAAATACAATACTCCAGATGCACAACCACATAGATCGGGGACCGACTTTTCCTATACGTGGGTTCCGCAGGGCTGACTGGGGGACTTGAGCGTGTGTGGATTTTGGTAAACGCAGGTGTCCTAGAACCAACACGCTGTGTGCACCGAGGGACAGCTGAGTCTGATTTAGGGAATCAGTACCTGTTTCCCACGAGTCTTCTTCCCACAGTTGTCACAGAAGCACGTGCTTTTGCTCGATAACTCCCTGGGCTGGAAGAAGAAGTGCAGGGCGTCCTCCTGCCCCACCCAAGAGAACAGGGAAGAGGCAGCGTTGGCATTTCCCACCTCAAGTACTGTACTCATCTGTTCTCACGCCGCTGTGACGAAATAGCTGAGACTGGGTAATTTCTAAGAAAAAAGGCTTGATTGGCTCATGGCTCTGCAGGCTGACAGGAAGCATGGTGGCATCTGCTTCCGGGGAGGCCGCAGGAAGCCCCAATCATGGCGGAGCGCCAAGCAGGAGCAGGCATCTTACACGGGAGGAGCAGGTGCAAGAGAGCAAGTGGGGAGCTGGTGTGCAGTGGCACGATCTCAGCTCACTGCAACCTCCACCTCCCGGGTTCAAGCGATTTTCCTGACTCAGCCTCCCAAGTAGCTGGGACTGCAGGCCATATCACCATGCCCGGCTAATTTTTTCTATTTTTAGTAGAGACAGGGTTTTACCATGTCGGCCAGGCTGGACTCGAACTCCTGACCTAAGGTGACCCGCCCGCCTCAGCCTCCCAAAGTGCTGGGATTACAGGTATGAGCCACTGCGCCCAGCCTGGCTGCATACTTTTAAATATCTCATAAGAACTCACTGTCACAAAGATAGTACCATGGGGGATGGTGCCAAACCATGAGAAACCCTTCCCCATGACCCCATCTCCTCCCATCAGGCCCTACTGCCAACATTGGGGATTAACACTGAACATGAGAGAGATTTTTGGGCAGTGACACAGACCCCCAATTGTACCAGGTACAGCCTCCCCACACTTTGCAGCTGAGGGGTTCAGCTTTTCTTCTGATTCCCTTCATATCCCTCTTAATGCCTGGCCTGGTGTGGTCCACTTGGCAGGATCTCAAAGGTCACCTCCTGACTGGAGGAATGAAGCAGGAGGGGGCTCCTGTTAGGCCAGCAGTATGAGGGAAGAGGAGGTAGGAGGGAAAGAGATTTTTGCCAAAACAAAGGAGAAATTGGCAGAGCCACGAAAATGAAATAAGCAACTCCTCAGAAACCAGTGCTAGATCCCAGAGGCAGGAGGAACTGGCAACACTGTGCTGTGTGCTGATATGGTTTCAGTGTTTGTACTCCCCAAATGCCAGCTTGGAACTGAATCCCCAGTGTGGCTGGATGGACAGGTGGGGCCTTTGAGAGACGATTGAGGGGGGCACATTGGCTCACGCCGGTAATTCCAGCACTTTGGGAGGCCGAGGCAGGCAGATCACTTAAGTCAGGAGTTTGAGATAAGCCCGGCCAACGTGGTGAAACCCCGCCCTTACTAAAAATACAAAAATTAGCCAGGCGTGGTGGCAGGCACCTGTAATCCCAGCTACTTGGGAGACTGAGGCAGGACAATCGCTTGAACCCGGGAGGTAGAGACTGCAATGAGCCGAGATCACGCCACTGCACTCCAGCCCCGGAGACAGAGGAGGACTCTGTCTCCAAAAAAATAGAGGGAGGTCACTGGGTCATGAGGGCACAGCCCTCATGAATGAATTAATCCACTCATGGATTAATGGGTTAATGGTTATCCTGGGAGTGGGACGGGGCTTCATATGCAGAGGAAGAGAGACTTGAGCTGGCACATTAGCACGCTCGGCCCCCTCGCCATGTGATGCCCCGCACCGCCTCGCCTCGGGACCAGCCAGCAGGCCCTCACCAGGTGCAGCCCCTCAACCTTGACTTCCCAGCCTCCAGAAGTGTAAGAAATACATTACCTACTCTCAGACACTGAGTTATGACAACAGACGATGGATTAACACATACGGGAGCAGCAAATACCAGGAGAATCCCCTTACCAAGGTCTTCAGGGGCTTCGAGTCCACATCGAAAAGAGAAAGTGGGAGGGTCAGCATGCTGCTGTTTCTGCTTCTCTCCACGGCACAGTTGAGGCAGATCAAAGAGTCCTTCATCCGGATCATATACAAGGCCTGCAGCCTCCCCACCTGCAAGACGGAGGAGAGAGGTGAGACAGAAGCACCACCGGAAGCCAGGCCAGGCCAACTGCCAGAGGTTGGAGCCAAGAGACAGAAGCTGCAGAAACAGTAGCCACTAATGCTCTCTGTCCTACTCACAAAGGTGAAAAATAATCCCAGGAACAAGATTACGAAACTGTGATAAGCATTTTATGTGGATTCACTCTTTCCGTCTACACACTCCAGGGACAACAGCCGAATGAGTTAAATGAGCAGCATCTCGAGCTTCCAGGCGCCCTGGTCCCAGGTTCTTACCAAGTCCACATCAGCGATCTGGTCCTTAATCAGGTTCCAGATTTTGAGGTAGAGTTGGGCAGCATCATGCTGGACAAACACTGGCCACAGAGAAAAGGAACAGCCCATTAGTGAGTCTTCAGGGTCGCTTCTTATGCCCTGGTACCTAGATGCACACACTCACTCACCGCTTTGTCTATTCCTAGCCCCCCACCCCACCGAAAGGCTAAGTTGGCACTACATATGAAGTGATCAATAAACAAACAGTAAGTTTGGTATTGATTTTTGAGAACACCTCTTCAAACCTGAGCACCAGTGCCAGGTGTAGTGGCTCACGCCTATAATCCCAACGCTTCTGGAAGCAAAGGCGGGAGGATAGCTTGAACTCAGGAGTTTGAGACCAGCCTGGGCAACAGAGCAAGATTCTGTCTCTATAAAAAATTTAAAAAATTAGTTGAGTGTGGTGGTGCATGCCTGTCGTCGGAGCTACTTGGGAGGCTGAGGCAGGAGGATCACTTGAGCCCAGGATGTTGAAGCTACAGTGAGCTGTGATTACACCACTGCACTCAGCCTGGGGAATGAATGTTCACAGGGGACTTTGAACAGCACTGATATATTCCTGGGGATCTAGAAGGCCATGCACATGCCCAGGTAAGACCCAAGAGGGCTCCCATCTTTCCCCTCTGGCTGACTGCAAGGCCACGTGCAAGAAAGCAGTGAAGGCGAATACAGAATTATAAACCGTCTGCGCTTTGAAAGTGTGCCCTAACAGACACACAGAGCCCCTTCGCAAATACTGGAAGACTCAGTGGTTCAGGCATTTAAGGAAAACTGTGACCACTTATTAACTGACCATGAAAGTAACAAAATGGAGCAGTCGGTGGCTACACACTACAGGAATGTAGATGTAACAGAATTAGTTCAGGGAAGTCGTCACTGAATGATGATCCACAACAACAAGAACAATAACAACACAGCAGCAACAACAAACCCTGGCGTGGGGGTCTCTGGTGTCGTGCTGCCACCTTACATTATCTATAATGTTCATGTTCCAACAGAAGTGACATACAGTGAAAACAGAAATGTATGGCCACACACAGGAAAACAGCAATCGGTAGAACTTTTCACAGCGAAGCCCTAGATGCCGGCCTTACTAAACAAAGACTTTAGCTGTTACAATATGTCAGAGAACTAAAGAAAACCAGGCATGGGGGCTCACGCCGGTAATCCCAGCACTTTGGGAAGCCGAGGCAGGCAGATCACCTGAGGTCAGGAGTTCGATACCAGCCTGGCCAACATGGTGAAACCCCGTCTCTTAAAAAAAAAAAAAAAAAAAGAACTAAAGAAAACCATGTCAAAAGAAGTAAAAGAAAGTACAAAAATGCTGTCTCACCAAATAAAGAGTATCAATAAAGAAAAAACAATAAAAAAAGAACCAAGCAGAAATTCTTGAGTTGAGGAGTACAATAATTGAAATGAAACATTTACTAGAGGGAATTAATAGCAGATTAGAGCTGGTAAGAGAAAGAATCCATCAACTTGGAGACAGGTTGACTGAGGCTATCCAGGCTGAGCATGGAAGGAAAACTGAACGTAGCGCCCACGCAGCTGAAAAGCTGGTTCGCTGCTCACCGCGTGCAGAGTTCAACTAACTCTGATACAAAAAAAAGTGGAATACAAAAGAGTTTTATACAAAAACACGCGTTTATTCTGGAGCCAGCTTGGGGAAGGAGCACGATGCATCCCGCCTTTTTCACGTGCCATTTCTCCTTTGGAGGAGAAAGGGACATTTTCATAAGGCGTGTTGTGGGGGAGGGGGAGTGAGCAATGGCAATTATCGCGTACCTGGCAGCTGAGTTGGCACCTTCCTGGGCAGAAGTAAACTAAAAGTGGCCGAGTAAGCACGCTTTCTCCGTGTCTTCCTAGTGGGTGAAAGGTAAACCCCTGAGGGGTTTCGAGGCCACTCTCCCCCCACCCCCCCAGGGGAACGTTCCCTGGTGGGAATGCTTCGGGCTGCAAATCTGCCAAGTCTCAGGAAAGATCAGCTGGAAGAAGGGGCCCTGTTCTCAAACCTCAATCGACCTATCCCCAAGTTTACAGATTCTTTTGCCCTGCAGGGAATGTCTGGTGAGGGGGAGGTAAAAGGTGATATTTACATTTCTAAAGGGCGAACAGGAAACACAGGGATTGGGAGGGTGGGGAGCGAAGAGGAGAAGTGAAAAGACAGTAACAAGAAGAAAAATAAGCTGTCTTAGAAAATGGGAGTACTCAGTTACACCCAGGTGGGTTCCCTAGTGAATGACGGGGTCTACCAAACACTTACGAGAAAAATTATACCAATTCCCTACAATCTCTTCCAGAAGACAGAAGCAGAGAGAACACTTCCTAACTCCTTCTCTGAGGCCAGCATGATCCTAATACCAAGACCACACAGATAAGGAAAAAAACCTAGAAACCAGTATCTCTCACGAACATAAATGCAGAAGTCCTCAAGAAAATATCAGTGGATCAAATTCAGTAAAAACAATCAGAGGGTGACATAAGCGAGATGGCAGAAGAGGGGGCTCCTGGTGCTCTCTTCACCTGTGGACACTCAGAAAAACTCCCACCTGCACACAGATCAACTCGCTCTGAAAGAAGCCCAGAGACTAGCTGAGAGTCCTGCAATGGGGCAATGGGGAAAACACCCCCACGGAGAGGAGCTGGAACAGCTGAGACACACTCACCGCAAGCCGCACCCTCGACACAGCACCTACGATGAGGAAGGAACCCCGACTCCCACCTTTCTCCTGAAGAGTGAAGGGTTTGGACCCCACAGAGCCCCGGCTTTTGCAGTTCCCACTCAAGGGTTTGGCTGCTAGGTCACCTAGCCCCAGGAGTGGACATGGGTCAGCGGTCATGAATCCTCTGCAACCACCGAGGGCACAGAGGCAGTTTTAAATGGGCACGTGAGCACTTCCAGCAGCTAAGCCCCTGTGCTCAGCACAGAGCGAACAGGCAGAAATGCCAGGCTCCCAATTTCTCCCTGCAAGGGTAGGTCTGTGGGCTCTCCCAGCTGCTGCCCGAGGGATGGGCTTCTATTAATAACTAGCCGGCACCTGCAGCCAATGAGGCAGGTAAACAGTACATTTCCAGGAGTCCGGACAGGCATGTGGGCAAGGCCCATGCCTTCTCCCAGCCCCTGCTCCAGGATAAAATCAGGTCTCTAACATCACACATTGAGCATACATTTAGCCCTCTCAAATGAAGGACTAGCTCCTCATTCACCCAGCTTTGGGAGTTGACGAGGCTCTGTATTTGTGAGTCCCACAAGCACACAGGGAGCAAAGAACAGGTTTGAGACGGGCATGCACGCACGTCCAGTGCTAACCCCCCAGACCCAGTGCAGCATGAACAGGCAGAAATGCCCGGCTCCCACTTTCTTCCTAGAAGGCGTCTGTCTGCACACGTGCAGCTGCTGCGCTGGGGTCTCCATGCATCTGGGAGCTGACAGAGCAGGAAACCAGCACTCCTCTGAGACCCTGAACGGGTAGGTGAGCACTTCCACAGCTGCTCCTACTGGTTTGCTCCACAGATAGCGCCAAGCTTCCAACTAACCTGTCCGTCTCTAAGCAGGCAGGAGTCAGCATTTGCTAGGCTCCTGGGGTGACAGAGCAAAGCAACGCATCCAAGGACTGTGCACTTTCAACGGGAGTGCAGGCACTCGCCACAGATCGTCTGTCCAGCTTACCACAGAGCCAGTGGGGGATAAACTCCTGCTCCCAGCTTTTCTGGGGATAGAATAAACTGAAACACACGTGTAACACCCCAATGTCTCCAGCTGCATCTCAACGGGCTGGCTTCTGTCTCCTCTGTCTGAGGCACTGTCAGGACTTGACACATTCTAATCTCCTGAGGGCTGCTGAGAACATGGATGGCAGTTTGGACAAGCACAAAGGGTCCAGAGGCGCTCCGAGTCTCTGGCAGGGCTACTTGGTAAGTTCGTCTCCTCTACAAGGCCAGTGGGACAAGACTGGGAGAGGTATTTTTCTTACGTAATGTGCAGAAATAACAGAATCAAGAATAATGAAGAAACAGAGAAATATGTTCCTAGCCAAAGAACAAGATAAATCTCCAGAAAATGCCCCCAGTGAAATGAAGATAAGGGACTTACTTTATAGACTATTCAAAATAATGATCATGAAGACGCTTACCAGGTCCAGAAGAGCAAAGCATGAATAAAGTAAGAATTTCAGCAAAGAGACAGAAAAAAGTTCAAAGTACCAAACAGAAAGAATAGAGCTGGAGAATACAATCACTGAAATACGAGTCCACTAAAGAAGCTCAACAGGCTAAATCAAGCGGAAGAAAGGATTCGCAAACTAGAAGACAGGCCACTGGAAATCATTCAGAGAGGCAAAAATAAAAATGAATGAAAAGAAGTGGAGATATCTTCAGAGACTTAGGAGACATCAAGCAGACCAAAATAGGCATTATCCGAGTGCCAGAAGGAGGAGAGTGAGAAGAGACAGAAAGCTTATCCAAGGAAGTAACAGTCACGGGGGGCAGACTGACATTTCAGTCAACGGCAGACCACAGCAGCACAGTGGCCATAGCATACAGCTGAGGTGTTTCGTACGCTGCCCCATCTGGGTTAGTGAAGTCCACTCCATGATGTTCACACAACGACAAAATCACCTACTGATGCCTTTTTCAGAACGTAGCTCTGTTGTTAAGCAACACATAACTGTAATGACTGAAAACTTCCCAACCCAGGGAAGGAAATAGAAATCTACATCCAGGAAGCCCAAAGGACACCCTAAGACTGATCTCAGGCAGCCCACACCAAGCCACATCATAAGCAGTTTCAAAAGTTAAAGACAAAGACTTCTGAAAGCAGAAAGAGAAAAGCAATGTGTTATACCCAAGGGAAAACCCTAAGTATGGGATTTCTTTTGAGAGTGAGGAAAATGTGATGAACATAGATTGTGATGATGGAGGCATGTCTCTGTGAACACACTACAAACCTCTGAATTGTATGTTTTTAAATGGATGGATTTTACAGTATGTGATGCACATCTCAATATAGCTATCTAAAAAAAACACCTAACCTACTTATGAATTATTTTGCAGAACATTCTGTCTTTTATTCCTTTATTCTGTTTTCCTGCCATTCCTTAACTATGGCTGATTAAGCTTGGAGGAGATGCCTTCGCTACTCCACTGAGAAGCAGAAAAAGGGTGATATGGAAATAAAATGTCCATAAATAATATCAATTCTGCACCTCCAAAAATGTGTGCCTCTTACACAAATGTCTCTATCATCCGAGAGGTCCAGGCTACCTAACTTGCTTCTTGTTGCTTCATTGGTGTTAGCTCCTCTCCTCTATCTGTCTGTAAGCTTCCCACGCCCTTCAGATCAGGAGGGTGTCTTACGGGGCACGTTGTACTTCTGCAGGCAGTAGGCCAGCTCCAGGGGCCGCACTGCTTTCTGCCGGCTGTCCTGCATCTTCTCCAACAGCAGAAGCAGCTGGAAAGGGACACTTCTCCTCTGCTCGTCAGCTCCCCTGGGCACTGTGATCCTGCCACACAAGAATGGCCAGAAACCTCCTTACGCGTAGTTCTTGAAGCTAGGTGCACGCTGGAATTGCTTGGGAAAAGTTTTTAATCTCCCTATCCAGGCCACTCCCATACAAATTACACCAGAATTCTGGGGGGTGGGGCCCAGTTATTAGAATGTTTCAGTTCCCCAGATTATTTCAATGGGTGGCCAAGGTTGAGAAGCACCACGTGAGTGAATCTGCTGTACAGGGGACCCTCTGGAGAGGGGGATCAGCACGACTGCTGCCTCGGCCCTCTGCACCCTGCCCAAGGTCCTGGCTCCACATCTCAGGCAAGCAGCAAAGCGTCCAGCCTAAAGCTCTCCAAACTGCAGAGGCACATGCTGGGGTAGGTCCAGGGAAGAAAGGGCGGCAGGAAGCTCTGTCCGTGTGGTTTGGCAATGATTCATTTAATTACAGGCACTACCTGGATGGGACAAAGGAGAGAGCATGGGGCAGGAAAGGACAGAGATCGAGAGAGAGAGAGAGAGAGAGAGCGCATTGGTGAGAGAGAGAGAGACAGAGCATTGTGTGAGTGTGGGGGAAGGGAGGGGTGTTCTGCCCACTGACTCCTTCCCAATGTCAAGGTCAGTCTAGTTCCAACTCTCTCTTTTAACCAAGTCAGTGGCCGTCAATCCTGGCTGCACTTTAAAATCACCCAAGGGGTGCTTTTAAAAAGTACCCATACCTGGGCCCCACCCCAGACCAACCTAAGAAGTTTTAGAAATAATGTGTAGTCCAGAATATGCAGAAACAGATCTTCCCTCTGCCCACTTTTGAGAGACCTCAAAAAGTCCAAGTCACTGTGAATAACTAGACATATTAAATATGAATTAATACACATGCTTACCAGCCTGAAGAAGAGTCTTACCTCTTCAATATCCTGGTGAAGTCCACGTTCATCACAAACACCTGAATTAAGGAGTTAAGGCAGCAGGTCTGTCCAATGTTGTGTAAACCAACCAGGCCTACAAGGGGAAGAGGAAAAAATGCTGAGGGCAAGCCCTGGGTAAAGAAGTTGACAAGGCTGGGCGTGGTGGCTCACGCCTGTAATCCCAGCACTTTGGGAGGCCAAGGCAGTCGGATCACCTGAGGTCAGGAGTTCGAGACCAGCCTGGCCAATATAGTGAAAACACCGTCTCTACTAAAAATACAAAAATCAGCTGGGCGTCAAGGCAGGTGCCTGTAATCCCAGCTTGAACCTGGCAGGCGGAGGTTACAGTGAGCCAAGATCATGCCACTGCACTCTAGACTGGGCGACACAGCAACACCCCATCTCAAAAAAGAAAAAAAAAAAAAGGTTCAGTAACAAGAAGTCTTAACAGCCCATTAGATAAAGTGAGATGTCACTAAAAATGTAAATTATTCACTGCCAAATCAGTAGAGCAAGCAGTTGTTGGCGGAGAAAAAGAAAGAAACATTAGAGAAAGCATGGCTGAGAATTATGGGCTCCCCTGATTCATACTGTTCTCCTCAGAGCTGAGTCCAAATGTGAATCTGCGGGGCTCACGGACAAGAGGAACTCCCCAGTCTGTCTCTGTCGGACTCCAGTGGAGAGGTCCCTGCCCAGTCCGCACCACTGGGAGGCAGGAGATCAGGAGGCAGCTGTGGGGCAGCTTCGCCTAATCCAATCTCACCCTGAGAGGCTGACAGGCAGAAGGAACTTACAAGAATAGGAGAAAAACAAAAGGCAACATTTCTCTGAACCCTAGCACCCAACCTCCCCTCTTCCAACCCAACCTTACCCTCTGCAGACCCCACAAGGTGGGCAATTTAGGAGGGAGGAAGTACCACTAATCTCAGGCTTCTTGGGGAAAGGGCTTTGGCTTATGACATAGGGCAATTAAAAAGTAAAAATCTGGGGCTGCAGGTGAGTACAGATTTCTGCTTCTGGGACAAAGGTACCTCAGCAGTAAAGATGGGAACTAACGAACTGCCACTAGACGCCCAGCACTGGCTGAAAGCAGCTTCCACAGATGAGCCCATTTAACCCCCCCAGCAACCCATGTGCTTGCTACCATCATTATCCCCACTTTGTTTTTGTTTTTGAGAGATAGGTTTTCACCATAGCCCAGGCTGTATCCCCGTCTAAAAGAAGCAGAAATTCAGGCCCAAGAAAGCAGGTGCCATCAGCCACGAAGCTCTGCTGCTTCAGCGCACAGGGGGTGAGGCAAGCATTGACATGCAGTCAGGGCCGAGCGTGATGGCTCACGCCTGTAATCCAAGCACTTTGGAGGCCAAGGCGGGTGGATCATCTGAGGTCGGGAGTTCAAGGCCAGCCTAAGCAACATGGTGAAACCCCCATCTTAAAAAATAATAATAATAAAGAAATAAAGACATGCAGTTGGGAAGAGAATGGGAGGCGTCTAATCACCATGAGGGTATTCCCAGGCCCCAGGACGTGCTCCGGGCTGCTCTCCCTTCCTCTTCATGTTGCTGTCTGCTTCCTTCTTTCCAACAGGATCTGCTGGGGACCACGGAGACTCAGCCAGGTTTGACTGACAGCTTTGTCCCAGGAGCCCAAACGCTTTGCCCATTCGTGATCACTCCAAAACCCCAGGCCGCAGCTGCCGGGCCGATGTTCAGGACGGCACCACCTCACTTCCAGGAAGAGCTCATGGGAGCGGGCCAGGCACAATGGGATCGCTGCGAAAACACAACGCGGGTAGGTAAGGATTCGAGAAGGGGGAATGTGTATGTATTCATGTAATCCGTTCTGATGCCGAAGGGCCAGGTCTTAGCGGGGGGTAACTGTCTGGGGAGGTTGACGCATAGAGCTCTAGACTGGAAATGACAGCGAGGCTACACATCCACTACCCTGGGTCCCACGCGTTTCCATTCATTCTTCCTCAGAATGGACTGCCAAACTCTAACCCGGAACACCCTCTTGGGAAGGACAGGGAAGCCCGCATGAGACTTTGCTTTGCAGCCCAGGATCAGGCCCACTTCAGGAAAAGCCAGCACCGAGCAGAAACTCAGCCCCTGATGCCAGGCTCGCACCCACAGAGGAAGCCTCTGCACCCGCCCCACACCGGAAGGGAAACTGCGGCCCTGCAGGACAGACTTGTCTTCGGGCCACATCACTGCCGTCCGGCTGCAGCAGTCACAGGCCTCAGGACCTCAGCTCCAGGCAGGCGGTGGCACCCGCAGGCCTCAGGCACTGGGCTGGTATCACGGCAGTGGACTCTGGGTGTGACCCAGTATTGTGTCAGCCTCAGTGGCCGTAGGGTTACCCGAGTACCCCTACCCCAACCGCAGCACAGCAGCGAGAAGAGAGACTGTTTGGTGGAGGAAGAGGTAAGCGGAGGACTTTGCCTGGGAACCCAGTACTAGGTTCACTACAGTAAAATCCAGTACCGGGCAGAGCCTCAGCTCCCTGACACTAGACCAGTACCCACAGGCAGATCTCACCCCACCCTAGTGCCAGATGAGAACACGCACCCAGGCGACAGGGACTGGGGATCTGGCCCACATCACCACCTACCAGCTACAGTGACCTTGGGTGCTGAATAAACCTCAGCAACAGCAGGCAAGCCATCGCAGCCATGGGCCTTGGGCGAGCCCAGTGCTGTGCGGGTCTCAGCAGCCATGGCCTTCAGGCGTGACCCGGGCTGTGTCCGTCCCAGAGACCAGAGAATTCCAACCGCAGTGATCCCGGACTTAGGGCACGCCCTGGCACTACAACAGCTGATGCAGTCATGGGCTTAGGGTCCTGAGCAATCCGCCTCTCCTTAATCTCGGACAGGTTTACTGATGACAGAAGAGCCCAGACAAAGCCGGATGATGGAGACTGCCTTCAGTACCTATGTCAATGCACAGACCTTGGCACACAGCCCTCAGAATCAAGATCAGTAAGAGAAACATGACATCGCTAAATGAACAAGTTAGGGTTCCAGTGACTAACTGCAGAGATTCAGAGCTGAGGCTGGCATGGTGGCTCATGCCTGTAACCCCAGCACTTTGGAAGGCCAAGGCGGAAGGATCACTTGAGCCCAGGAGTTCAAGATCAGCCCAGGCAACATAGTAAGATCCCATCTCTACAAAAAAAAAAAAAAAAAAAAAATCAAAATCACTTTAGATGGGCATAGTGGTGCATGCCTGTGGTCCCAAAATGCTCAGGAGACCACTTGAGGCCAGGAGTTGAAGGCCACAGTGAACAATGTTTGTGCCACTGCACTCCAGCCTGGGCAACAGAATGAGACCTTGTATCTAAATAAATAAATAAATAAGATGGAATAAAATAAAATATAATATGGGTAACATCTAAGCACTATTTCTTATAAAAGGTGAAAGCCTTTATATGTACTGTCTTATTTATCCTTACACAGCCATATGAATTAATTACTGTTATATACCCATTTGACAGATGAGAAAACTGAGATAGAAAGAAGTGAGTGCCTTTCCCAAGGTCACACAACTGGCAAGTGACAGGCCAGATGTGGACAAGCGGGACCGGGTTTACGTCCAGCTGCCATGCTGCTCGAGTGAGAAATCAGCTCAGGACCGATCATTGGTGGGAATGTAAATGAGTGGAGCCATGATAGAAAACAGTATGGAGACTCTTTAAAAACCTAGAAATAGTTCTGTCATCTGATTCAGTAATCCCACTGCTGAATATGCAAAGGAAAGGGAATCAGTATGTTGAAGACATATCTGCACTCTCATGTTTATTGCGGCCCTGCTCATAATAGCTGACATAGGGAATCAACCTAAGTGTCTATCTAAAAGACGAATGGATAAAAAAATGTGGACTACATATATACAATGGAATGTGATTTAGCCACTAAAAGAGAATGAAATCTGTCACTCACATCAACATGGATGAGCCTGGAGAACATTACGTTAAGTGAAATAAACTAGGCGCAGAAGGATAAACGCCACACGTTCACACTCACATGTGAAAACTACAAACGCTTATCTCCTAGAAACAGAGAATAGAGAGCCAGCCACAGTGGCTCACACCCGTAATCCCAGCACTTTGGTTGGCTGAGACAGGAGGATAGCTTGAAGCCAGGAGTTCAAGACCAATCTAGGCAACATAGCAAGACCCTGTTTCTAAAAATAAAAATAAAATTAGTCTGGCATGGAGGCATGTACCTGTAGCCCCAGCAACTTGGGAGACTGAGGCAGGAGGATCAGTTGAGCCCAGGAGTTTGAGGCCACAGTGAGTCATGATCGTACCACAGCACTCCAGCCTAGAAACAGAGTAAGACCCTGTCTCTCTTTTTTTTTCTTTTTTGAAACGGAGTTTCACTCTTTTTGCCCAGGCTGGAGTGCAATGGTGTGATCTCAGGTCACTGAAATCTCCACCTCCTGGGTTCAAGTGATTGTCCTGCCTCAGCCTCCCGTGTAGCTGGGATTACAGGTGCACACCACCACACCCAGCTAATTGTGTATTTTTAGGAGAGACGGAGTTTCACCAAGTTGTCGAGGCTGGTCTTGAACTCCTGACCTCAAGTGATCCACTCACATCAGCCTCCCAAAGTGCTGGGATTACAGGCATGAGCCACCGCTCCCAGCCTGACCCTGTCTCTTAAAAAAGCATTCATCGTGACCAGCCTGGCCAACATGGTGAAACCCTGTCTCTACTAAAACTACAAAAAATGAGCCAGGCATGGTGTCGGGAACCTGTAGTCCCAGCTAGCTGGGAGACTGAGGCAGGAGAATTGCTTGAATCTGGGAGGAGGAGGTTGCAGTGAGCTGGTATCAGGCCACTGCACTCCAGCCTGGGAGACAGAGAGAGACTCTGTCTCAAAAAAAAAAAAAAAAAAAAATCAAAAGACCAACAAAACAAAAAGTTGGTTTTTTGAAAAGATAAACAAAATTGAAAACTCTTTAGTTAAACTAAGAAGAGAAAAAGACTCAAATAAATAAAATCAGAGGCAAAAAGGAGACATTACAGCTGATACCACAGAGGTACAAAGAATTATTAGAGGCCAGGCGTGGTGGCTCATGCCTGTTATCCCAGCACTTTGGGAGGCCCAGGTGGGTGGATCACCTGAGGTCAGGAGTTCAAGACCAGTCTTGCCAACATGGTGAAACCCCATCTTTAGTAAAAATCCAAAAATTAGCTGGGCATGGTGGCGCACACCCGTAATCCCAGCCTCTCGGGAGGCTGAGGCAAGAGAATTACTAGAACTCAGGAGGCGGAGGTTGCACTGAGCCGAGATAGCACCATTGCACTCCAGCCTAGGCAACGAGAGTAAAACTCCATCTCGAAAAACAAAATAAAACAAAAAACAGCCAAATCAGGGCAGTTAGCATCTCTGTCGCCTCACACATGTATTATTGATTTGTGGTAAGAACATTCAAAACTCTCTTCTAGCTATTGAAATAGACAGTATTGTTAACTACAGCCTCTGACAGAACACCTGCCCTTTTTCCTCCTAACTGTTACAGTGGTGGCACATGCCTGTGGTCCCAGCTACTTGGGAGGCTGAGGCAAGAGAATCACTTGAACCCGGAAGGCAGAGGTTGCAGTGAGCCAAGATCACACCACTCCACTCCAGTCTGGGCGACAGAGAGAGACTCCATTTCAAAAAAAACCAGAAAAAAAAAAAAAAAACAGGCCAGGCTTGGTGGCTGACTCTAGTAATCCCAGCACTTTGGGAGGCCGAGGCAGGTGGATCACTGAGGTCGGGAGTTTGAGACCAGCCTGGCCAACACAGTGGAACCCCAGCTCTACTAAAAATAAAAATAAAAAATTAGCCAGGCATGCTAATGCATGCTTGTAAACCCAGGTACTTGGAAGGCTGAAGCAGGAGAATCACTTGAACCCAGGAGGTGGAGGTTGCAGTGAGCTGAGATCGCCCCACCGCACTCCAGCCTAGGCGACAGAGTGAGATTCCATCTCAAAAAAAAAAAAGGAGGCCAGACGTGGTGGCTCACACCTGTAATCCAAGCACTTTGGAGGCCAAGGCGGGCGGATCACCTGAGGTCCGGAATTAAAAACCAGCCTGACCAACATGGTGAAACTCCATCTTTAAAAAAAAAAAAAAAAAGGATTGTTAGAAACTATGATGATATTATGAACAACCAAATGCCAAACAACTGGAAAACCTAAAGGAAATGAATAAATTCCTGGACACACAGAATCTATTCAGATCGCACCACGAAGAAACAGAAAACCTGTGTTAGGAGACTGTGGCAGTAATTAAAAAGTCTCCCAGCAAAAAAGCTCAGGACCTGATTGTTTTACTGCTGAATTCGACCACACATTTAAAGAACTAATACCAATTCTATTCAAACTTTTCCAAATAATTGAAGAGGGGAGAACATTTTCAAACTCGTAAGGCCAGCATTACTCTGATACCAAAACCAGACAAGTAAATGATGAAAAAAGAAAACTACAGGCCAGTATCCCTGATGAACATAGACAGGAAAATCCTCAACAAAGTACTAGCAAACCAAATTCCACAACTACATCATTCATCATGACCGAGTGATATTCATTATAGGCATTGAGGACAGTTCAACATAAGCAGTTCTGCCTGTCTTCCAGAGTGTGCTGTGTCTAAACCTTGCTGCTGCTGCCGCCGCCTTCCATCCAGGCCAGCTGCTCCTTCTTGAAATGTACTTTATCTTCCTCCGATAAAATGCTTCTTGACCCTTGTGCCTCTTGGCTGCATTCTTTCTTCCAAGAAAAC